GTGGAGTATTCACTGAGATTTATTTTGGCCTCACACTAATTCATGCACCATATTTCCAGTTCAGGAGTTTTAGGGTTTTTTTTCCAAGATTATCTGTAGCTATGACTTTTCATCAATTTCCGTTTTTGCACTTTAGTCCAGAGAGTCAGTAAGGTATATTTGTTTAATAACAGCTGGAAGATTGGATTCAAAGCCCCATCATGTTTAGAATTTTCTTACCTGTTTTCTGGTTCTTGGATTGTTGATTAATAAAGGAAATCCTCACTTCAACTTCCATTTAAAAACTCTGTGGACACTGTCTTACAGTCTACACAGGTTAGGTGCTTTTTTCCAAACATAAGGCTCCATAAGTAGGTCTCATCATAACTTTCACAGTAAAACTGGAATAGACTTAATTATTTATTGTAAGACTGTTAGGTCTGATTAACTCATTAGCCTGCTTACAGGAGGCTGATCACTCTTTCTTGAAAGCTTTTATTAGGTTTTCTTGTTGAAGCACAGGCAATATCCTCCTGACAGGTACAATTACCAGGAGACCTCCAACTTTGACGTCCAGATAAGCCTAAGAGAAAGTGGCCTCTACAATGCTTGGGAAAGCAAATTCGGTGTATAGATAGCTCAGAGTGGTGCCTTAAGTTTCAACGCTCTTCCTTTTTTCCTTTAATACTGTCTAACAGAGAGAGGAACATGTTCATAATTCTTACCTCTGGAAACTGGGAATGCTGAATGAGATTCATTCAACTTGCATCCTTTCTACAGCTTTTATTCCTGTTGAGAAGGGGAGGGTTTTATGAGTTAAGTTTGCTTAGTGTTGGCATTTATCTCAGTGTTTATGATCTTTAATTCAGCAATGATCTGTATTGGTAAGAGACCTTTACTATAGTTGAACAAAAATCTACAGGCCAAGTAAATGAACCTAAAACATCCTGCTATTTCCTGTTAGCTAAAAATACAAGAGCAACTGAAAGCTCTCAAATGTGTAAGTGTTGAAGTGAAACTGTCACCTTTTATATGTTGTTAACCTTCAACTCCCTTTAATAACTTCATCTGAAAGACCAACTGAGGAAGCACTGACTTTAAATGAAGTTCATTGTGGCCATTTAGTACCAGAGTCCAAAGTCATTCTGCATGCGTCCAGAAAATTAATGTACCTAATGCTTCTATATAATAACTTCTACTTAGAAGGTGTATGGATTATTTTTAATCTGAAGTACAAAGCTACCTGCCCTAATTTAAATACTAGTTCCAGAGGGGTTACAATAGCTTGCTGTGCAGAGACATTTAAACTAACAACTTGGAATTCTATTCATACATTCGTTAATCATTTCTTTTGCATTACTGCTTTTTTTTTTAAAGTCTGTCAGAAAGCTGTCATTATACAGAAATAGCTAAAATTTCCTTGATTGCTGTCAGAAGAGGGAATGCACAAAAACCTTTACTATACATAACTTCCCACATTTTCTACTCAACTGTTATGCATAACCTAGATACCCGAGTATGCCTTTGAAAGATCTGTGCTTCTGTAAAAAGGAATTCAGATGGCAAGGTGGTGCATTCTTTTCTATAAAATGGATTAATAATACCACTGAGCTCGCATTACATCATTTGAATAAGCACAGCTTTCAAGGAGATTCTGTGGCTCCATTTGAAGGCTAATACTACTATGGAGCACAGTACCTTGGGAAAATTTCTTCATAAGTAATTAAAGTTCTTGCTAAGTAATTAAATTGCTTATTATTTACATGCAGAATGGAAGCTTTCATCCTTTTTATTGTGTCTATGCTAACTATGCAATATGGGCTTTCTGGACTCAAGACTCATTTCAGGGAGAAGCATTTCATGTAATACTTTATTCTGCTTTGTCTACTTCCAGTTACTTACTTCTTTTCAGATAATTTACGTAATTTAATTGCTTAAGGTACATTTCGCTCTGAAAAAGAAACCTATTTGGCCAAATATAAATTCTGAAGCCAAATAAACAGTTCTTCTAGGACTAGTACAAGATAATTTGCTTTACTGGGTTGTATGGACAGCTGTTGCAACATTTGTGAAGATATATGAACTTTTAGAACTTTTAGAAGTTCATATATGAACTTTTAGAAGTTCAGATATGAAGGTAACCATTTATGGAAGGATTATTCCACATGAATAAACATTTACATTATAATAGGAAAGGACACGCCAAGCTATTCACAAGAGGCTTACAATCTTGAAATTATAAATTTAACGTTTCCGTGAGAAATGGGGTTGCTATATAATGTAAAAGAAGTAGCATTGAAATATGCCAGAAGTAATTAGCTTTTATTTTGAACGCATTCTAAATGTGCTTGCAAATAGTTACGTCTAGTATCTTGAAAAATAGAAACTAGTGTGTTTTTATACACAGGTACAATTCTTAATACAGTTCTTGATGAATTTCTGTCAATTCCATAAAACTCAAAATGTAATACCATATAGATTTTCTAATCTACCAAGAAAATAGGAAATTCTAAGCTGGATTAAAGTAATCGTACTGCAAATGGCAGTTACAGCAGCTTTCTTTTTCTTGGTAATTGGTTACTTAGTAGGCGGCCTTTTTATAGTTAGTGGCAAGCAAAAGTGATATGTTGTATTTTAAAGATTTCCCTTTCTGCTTCCAGAAGAAGCAAATTGATTTATCTTATACTGCTGTCTGTATTTCTATTTGTTTCGTGTGCTGTATCTCCATGGAACTGGTATGTCCAGGTGATGTTAAACTCCTTATTACTGTAACAACCAGCTGGAGTAACATTTTCTTGTTTGTACAAAGAGTTTATCTCTGGATTTAGTTGTGCACTCTTCTTTGCAGTGAAGGAGATACATTTTCACTTCAGAGATGTATTAAAGATCAGAACTTCTCAGGTTTCTGTATGATAAAAAAGTTTTGGTCCCAATAGCGGTATTTTTCAGGATAGTAGATCTACCACAGGTTTATGAAAAGTAAACTGCTATGTAGTGAGGTTAGGGTCATGTGGAAGGCCATAGTCATGAAATTATTTTGTCTGTAAGGAGAATAGAAATTAGTTGTCTCCATTGGCCTTGTATACATGTTCTATATTGTATTAATGCAAATGTCTCCATTGTTTCAGGACTTTCAGCGTGGGCTTGAATGTCTTCTTATACATATATGTAAAATAAAATTTTTAAAACTGCCCAGAAATTTAAAGACTGAAAATTGTAGTCCCATGGAGAATGTTGTAAAATACATCTGGTAGCTGGCCCATTATGGCGACTTGAAATATGCATACACGGTCTTCATATCTAACGTAGGAATCTGATGGTCAGTCTCAAACTGGAATTAACTACTTGGAAGTCTTACGCTAGAAATTCTAATCTTGCTGAACAAGTTGACTGCCATTCTGTTGTAGGTGTTTTAAAGGTAGAGGTGATTTTCTCTATTGAGCTCTCCTTAGAAAGTCTCTTGCTGATTCTTGACTGAAGCAAATAAAGTTTCAGTCTTTTAATTGACACGAGTAAACTTTGAATTGGGGTGTATGTCTGATAAAATATTTGCATATGTTTGTCTTCTATTCTGTCATTCTTTCAAATGAAAGTGAAATAACAGATTTGTAGTTTGTGCAGTCAGTCAAGTGAAGAGTCATGGAGATCATTTAAATAATAAAATCCATTTATTGTTTCACCTTTGAGTTACTAGGAAAAAACACTTTCTATAAGAGCTCTGATAGTTAAAGCTAATGTCTGAAAGTACTGAGTCCACAAGACAAGTTAGTTACACATCATTAAGTATAACCATGATGTGAATTTCACCACTCCTTCCACAGGTGTTTTCCATTAGAATATGTCTGCTCCATTCAGACCTATTTTAAGTAAATTCACAAGGAAATGCCTCTTTACATGTTTATCCTGGAAGGGCAGATTGGTGTTTTATTTTATAAAGCAGTCTAGAAGTTTTCTATTCTATTCTTCAAATGAAAAAATATTTTTCAGAACATAGTGTTGCAGTTTGGTAATGTATTTCTAGCTGCCATTAGAGACACTTCTAATTAAAACATAATAAAATTCATGAAACAGAAATGACTGTTTCTTAGAAATGCTGGTGAGAGGGCTATTTGCCTGCCATAAGTGTTTGTGTAAAAATGTTATGTTCATTATATACACTTTTATTAATATAAAACTCTACTGTTACACTTTCCTTTTGGTGATCTTTTAAAATATTATTATGTATTGATACAATGCTTTAAGGTTATAATATATCATCTCTTAAATATCATGTAAAAAAGTGTACTGACTTGCTAGCAATTATCTCACGACAAATACCCAACATAAATAATTTCCGGTAATTTTAGTTTTGGAAAACACCTTAGCTCTTACAGACAAAACTGACATCTTTCAAATGCTTTGCTTGGTTTAGTGAAAAGCAGATAAATGGGTTGTGATTAAGAACAGTGATAGATTATACATTTACATATAGACTACCTGGTCACCTCAGTGTTCATTTTCTCCCTGAAAAAATGTTTCAAATTACAAGAAGATTAGAACAAAGCAGCATTCTCTTTTGCTCTCATTTCCTGGCTTTCAAAGTTCATGGTATCTCAAATGGTTGAAAAAAAATAGATTTGCCTTTTGCCCTCCATAAGTATAACTCAGAGGTAGTATGAGCATAAGTTAAATTCTGCAGCTGTTTAAATGAAATATTTAAAGTGTGGTGTTGCTTGGACCATCTTTATAAAATTTATAAGTGTTGCTTTTATATAGTGATTTTTTTCCAACTTCTTTCCTAATACTCTTCAGACTGAGCAGAAATATTAGATAATCAGGAAGCTAAACATTTCTTATTATTGTAATTATTTTTTCATTACATGAAATCAATTAAAGGGCTGCTGTATATGTAATTTAACTGAATTTACATTTTAAGTCATTTTGTAAGCAACTGACAAACCTAAGTGTCTTGGATGAGTTCTTTTTGTCTGTTTTACTAGCAGACTGTGGTTACAATAATAGGAATGTTTTCTCCCAAATAGCATCAGCGACTTCTGGATATTTTGGAAGAGGAGAAGGAAGTGCTATCCGGAAAGATAGAAGAGGCTTTGATGCAGCAGTCACAAAAACACAAGGTATCACTTTTATTTACCAAGAAAAAGGGGTCTGATCTGCACCACAGAGTTCATTGGGAATGATCCTGTCACAATTATTGACAGGAAGAGGAAGCTTTCTCAAGCACTTTGACTGTTTGAAATGATTTTTAGCCACTCCTCTATTGTATATTGCAGTTTAATTTTTCATAATGTTTACAGGAAGTGCTTGACAAATGTTTGGATGAAGAAAGACAAAGAAGTAAGGAGGCTGCGGCAGCCGCTGCGAAGGTATGTCTTGTTAAGTAGTAGACATGCGATGTGGATTCCATGTGTGTCATTACAAATGCCAAGTTAGGCAACTCATTCTTATTTCATAATTAAATTTGTCAAACTCTGCTATCATCTGTGTTTAAAAGAATCTAGTTCTGTAAATCATGAACATATCTGTTATATCCTGTGCCTTAATACAGATAGTCTATGTAACTTCTGTCTAAGATAGACTCTGAATTAGTTTATAACAAGAAGTCATAATATTACAGTTCACTTACTGATGTTACCTAACTGTCTGGTTTCGTGGTCTTTCAGTGAACAACATCAATACATCTTGATATGAAGAGCTATGTAGCAGGGTCAACTGATTATCTTAATAAGACAATTAGCATTGTGTCTTAACTTTTGTTAATTATGGTCATTTTCGATGAGGACAGAACTATTTTATAAATCATACAAAAATTTAGACATTTTAACAGGTTTTCAATTATTTTATTTGAGTTGATGTTTGACTAGAAGTGAATATTCACTTTTTTAAATATAATTTCTTTTGTCTATTTATGAAGTGCATTGGGGTTAGGACAGTAATTTTGTAAATGTTAAGCTATCTTTCATTTCTAATACTGATGTAGAATCCAGTACAAAAGTTCAGTTGCATGTAATGGTCTGGGAAACTAGTGATGTATGTTACCTAGCACAGTTGATTAGGCTATATTAATCATTTCCGGTACATCTTCATATGTAGTATATGCACACTAGCTGAGCACCTCTCTGAATAACATTCAGTAACACAAGAAACATCTGTTACATGGTTGATAATCTAGGGAGAAATGTGTGTATAATAAAATATCTTAATAGGGCATTTTTTACCTTACATTATATTTTATAAATGTCTAAATAAAAAAATCAAGTCCCAGTGAATTGCAAGAAACATCTTTATAAGTGTAGGTATTTGAGGAACCCAGTATTTTTTGCCATTTAAAACTTCACTTGACCAGTTCCATAATGACCGCCAAAGGGCATTGGAATAACCTGTAAGCTTATTAAAATTAAGGGGGGGCTGTTTGTCAGCCCATATTTGTTTATTTTAAACTTCAGCCTGCACTTAGTTATTTGTAGATATTATGCAATGATTGTCTTGCTGATATATATACTTGAGTGGCTCAGCAGGTGTAGAGCTGTCCTTGTTACTTCAAATTCAGTGTGTGTCTTCTGATGATATCATGTAATGGTTGAATATAAACATTAAAAAAAAAAAAAGAAACCGTACTTCTTGTAGAATGCCTAGCTAAGGAGCTTTCAGAGGGAAGGTGCATTTGTTTTAATTATGTATTGGCTACTTTGCCACAGAAGATGCTTTAAACTGGTTTTGGACTTTAGATACTTGTAGATAAGAGCAGGAGTATCTCATATATGGGAATATCAAGCAGTGTAGGGAGGCCCATGACATACCTACTCTTACGTGGTTCCTGCTGCATGTTTTTTGTGTTGGCATTAAACAAACTTGTGTTTTAAGTAGGTAGGAATTTAAGATCCTTGCTTGTAACTTTCTTTTTCTGTAACTACAAAGTCCTTGTCCAGTGGTAATACCTGCTTGGTAGCACCTTAAGATAAGTTTAAGCTCATAGTTCAGAAGTGAAAATATTCATGTCCCATATCTTTTCAGCTCATAGATCTCATTAAAAGAAAACATATATGAGTTAGGCACCCAAGTTGGGTATTTTGGTCATTATCTGTGCTTGATTTGTTTCAAAGGCTGAAAAAGAAGTAGTGCAGGAGACTGTTCTGAAAGCAGTAGAGGAGGAGAGGAGAAATATGGAGAAGATTCATGCAGAAGAAAGAAAAATGTGGGAAGCAGAACGTGACAGACATAAAGAGAAGATTGCCCAGGCTGTCTGGGAAGCCATGCAAGAGCAAAGAAAGCATAATCAAGTTAGTATATTTTGCCCTTCCATGGACCTGCTTTGTGTATTCTATTTTTAGTTTTGAATGTCTTCCTAATGTTGTGCTAGATTTTCTTGTGACATCTATCATTCATCAGTGCACCTAGTTGATATTTGCAATGCACAGCAATCTTGTTAGTTTATCATCATCTAGACTATGTGTATGGAGAGAAGTTGGCAGACACAAAACAAAATTCCTGCAACCTTTTCAGGTATGTATATTGAAATGAGATGAATCATGCCCTGTAAGTGCCTGGTTTTGTCCATTAACTTCAAGAGAAGTCCAAGATGACTAGCTCAGATAGTGGCATTTTATGTTGTAGACAGTTTAGGTGACTCTTTTATACCTATGGAAGAGAAAAGCTGTTCCATTTGTTCCTTATTCTGCTGGAATTCCATTATCTCTCTTAGTAAAAAGATACTTTTTCTAAGACAAAAAATAAAATAGGTACAAAATAAAGAGAAGTTTATAAAAATTGGAAACCTAAACCAGTAATGAACCAGAAATGTTTCCAGAGTTACTTTTTAGAGAGGTGCTTCTATAAGGATAATTGTACGTCACTTAACACAAATTGAGAGGGACACTCCCAACATTACTTTTAACAATTGTAGAAATTACAAATTAAATACATTATAATGGCAGTTAAATTACACTTCCAAAAGTTGAATTTTGTAGTCTCTGATGCTGGAAATATCTGGGGGAACAGCCTGTAAATTCACTGATTTCTTGGTGACATACTTGAATGTTATAGTCTGAAGAATTTTAAACAAGATGGGTTTCATTCAGGTGTTGGAACTTGATATTACTATATTTTTTAATGTCCTGAATAACAACAACAACAGCAAGACCTTTAGAATTCAAAGTAAAATAGAAGTAAAATAGCATATCACAGAAGTTTAAAAATCAACTCTTTGGAAACAGACCCATTTCCCTTTCCAGCATTAAACAGAACTATTAACCTCATACATAATCAACTAAACAAAACGTTGGTTTTTGATGCTAAGCCGTTATTATACTGTGTTACTTACATTTTTAGTGTAAATAGAATGATTTTACTTTGTGTATGGCTTGTTTACTGCTTTTGAATGTAAAGGTATCAAGTGGTAAGATACTAGTTTTCAAGGCTGTCATTTTACTATACCAATGAGCCTTCAGGCACTCAAACTCTTCTTTACAACAAAAAGATAAGCAGCTGACTTCAAAGCTAAATGCAAGCTGAGGAAAATTGCTTGGGGTTTAGTTAGATACAAATCATTTAGACTACCCAGAATGAGAACTGGTACCAGTGGTGTAGAGAATCTGTTAACAGAAGGGAGAGCAATAAAGTAGTTGTTTACTACAGTAAAGAAAAACACAGCAATTTTATAGCTTGTGGAGCATGAAGAGATAAATAGGAGGACTATGGTAATGAAGTTCGAGGAGAGTTTTGATGAATCCTGAAGGTTTTTGGTGAAGGAGTGCCATAGCTGGATGCATGAGGTTGGCCAGGGTTCTATATTCATGGATTTGGGGAGCATGTAAAATATCCCAGGGGTGGGAGAATGGTGGATTAATTTGACATAGTGACTCAGGGTAGTTTTACCTTCCCTGGGGAGTGTACTGCCAGAGTTTCTTGTTGTTGATACTGCCTTTGAAGTTGTCACAAGACAGGATGATATTAGAAGAAATTTAATATTGATGGATGTATTCTTTCAGACAAAGTTTTAAGTATACTGAGATGTCAGTGGTTTTCTGAGGAAGAAATTCAGGCCTTTCAAAAGGACAGGTTTTTCAGCTCAAGCTGCTAGTTGATCAAGTAGTTGATAGTGTTGGAGTATCTAGTGGTGTACTTGTGACAGTGAGTAGCACTGAGGTATTGGAGAGTGTTGTGATTAATTCTCCTGTAAATATCTTGCTCTTGATGTAGTCATGTGGCATTAGTTAATTCCATCTTTTTTAATGCTGAATAGCTCTGACAACTTTGATAGTAACAGTTATATGATGATTTCTCCTTTGAGTTAGGTTCATTTTTCAAATACCAAATCCATTTTCAATTGAGGAAAATGCAGCTTTCTCTTGAGATTTCCAAAATTCTCTCACATAAATGTTTAACATATTTGAAGTTACACTCTTTTTTCTCTGATTAACAAGTACAAATTCTTTTGGGAGAACAGACTTTCATGTAGAAAGTTGTTTCTTGAAGAAATTTTCACATGTTACCTCCACCAAGAACTTGCCTGACTCCTTTAGGCCACTGGTATTGTAAACGTACAACTGCTAAAATTCTCTGTCTGACAACAAAAGAAGTACTGCAGAGCTAATGTGCCAACTGATAGCTTATATACGGTGTCAGATGTGACTTTGGTTTAGCAATGAAAAACACTTGGGACTGCTGGCAGTTTGTGTGTGGACATTAATTTTTCTGAGTAAAGCCTTCAACTCAGAGTTGTTTCTTATTTATATTTTTTTTTCTGTAAGAATTCTTTCAAGAGCTGTAACTGCACTATTGACTTTCTTGCAGTTATTGTTTAGACAACATAATCTGTCAAGTCAGCTCTATAATGGCCAAAAGTAAAACATACAGTCTAACATTTTAGACAATGAAATGTAATATTGTGGCCGTGTAATGCTTGCCTCATTTAATTCTTTGTGCTGTGCTGTATAATTCTTTATGCTTCCTGCTTCAAAATTGTCACCTGATACTATTCTTATGTTTAGTACCAAGTAATGAAACAACTGAGTGTAGCTGAATGTAAGTGAACATGGAAAATAATCTTTTGGTATCAGACATACAAAAAAAGCTTTAAGAGCAGTACTGTTATTTCAAGGAGATCTTTCTGACTAATGCATGATTTTGGAACTTAATACTAGGAAAGAGAAGCCTGACTTGTTTTTAACAAAACTTCTCTTAGTTTATCTTCTTCATCACCAGAGGAGATAATCTGTGTGTGAGAAAGAAAAGATATTTTTTTATTTTCCTTTTTTTTTTTTTTTTTTTTTTTTTTGGTCTTGTACCACACTAGTAATTGTCACAGAAACCTAGATTAAAATTTAGTTTTATTCTGCTGTAAATTAATTTGAAGAGACTTGCCTTACTGATTTGAACTAAAACAAATAAATTAAGCATAGTATTAAAGAGAAGGAATTTCCCTTCACTAATACTGTAAGTCTGCAAAATTGAAAGATATTTCAGGATAGTTATTACAGTATTAATGAAGGTCAGCGTAGTCTTCTGCAAATAGGTGAGGCAGAATAGCTTCCAGTCGTGGCACCCATAAGTAACTCTAGGAATAATTAATGGAGAAATTTGAAGACATTCAAAATTATATGATTTTCTTTGAGACACAAATGCACTTGATAATCTATGTGTTTTAAATATATTTTGGTCTGTGTCAGAGTTGAATAAGAACAAAACAGAAGAAATTGAGACCCCAAATTTGACAGCCAAACAGGACCTCAAGAAAATTGTGAATCTGGTAGTAGAAGCTAGGGTACAGTGTCAGGAGACACAGAGAATCATAACCAAGAACATACAACCCTGGCCTTAAGAAAAAGAACTTCTGCCAAATGGCTGCAAATTAAGAACAGAGAAGATGCACATCAGTGTAAAACACTGAAAAGTAAAACTAGAAGAACCATTAGGGAAAAGGACACTGTCATATGCATGGGGCAAGAGTTGATAAACTAGATGGGAAAGACGTACTTTAAAAACTGCGGCACCATTACGTATCTGTAAAATATTTAAATCATGAAAATGAGGGAAAATAAATTTCTGTGTCATAATGGTATGAATTCGTTGGCTTCTCCTTTGTCTTCTAGACCAGAAAAATATGGTTAGGAGTTTTGATTCTTTGATTTAAGGGAGGAATTTACTATCCACTGATGTTCTTTATAGAATAAAAGATGTTATTTTTTCACCAGTTTTTAAACACATGCGCTACAAAAACCTTGTAGAATTTGATTATGTATGAGAAAGCAATTGGAAAAAAACTTAAAGTATGCTAGTTAACATTCTTCAGTCAGGCAATTTTAGCATAAGAACAATAAAGCTTTGAAGATCACAGTTCTGCTGAACCAGGTGGTGAGATTTCCCTTCATCTTCTAAGTAATTTGTTTAAAAGAAGAAAAGATGAGTGTTTACTGTGCAGGGATGATACAGGTATTTTTTTAGACTTTTGTTGTTGTTGCAGAGTGGCCAGGAAGGAGAGCCATAGTAGATGCAAATGTGGAAGCTTTACGCAGATTGCTGCTACTTGTTAGATATTCATGCTTGACAAAACTTTGTCCTGAAAAATTGTTTATCCTCAGTCAGATAGATGTTGAGTCTGCAGATAAGAGATGCTCCTTCCATATAAGATTTATTTTAATTTAACATTGCCAGAGAAAAACCTGGGGACTTGGGGACAGTTTAATAAATAACTCACGATTAATATCAAGTATTTTGTTACCAAATATGAAACAGCAGAGTAAAGATAAACTAACAGTGCAAGTAGGAACTAAGACATACTGAGTTAATGTTTCAGCTTGATGGAGCAACTTTGACATACCCCTTCTTTTTTTTTTAAGAAATTAAAGGATTAAAGTAACGTGAATATTGCATTTGTTTTCATGAAAGCTTTGACTGTTCCATTACTTGGGTCTTTACTCAGAGACATGGGATTTTTTAATTAAATCGAAGATATTGTCTTTGAAGCCTTATAACTCTGAAGGGATAAATGAGATGTATTACATCACCAAGAAAATGGTAAAAGTTTTTCTAGAGCACTGTCTCAAAAGGGTGTAAGGTATTAGAAGTCCAAAAAACTTTCCTTTTGGTTGAGACTGGCAGCATCTTCAGGTTTTATATACGTGTTATACAGGTGCTTAGTGCTTTTATAAAAGAGATTCCCTCCCCCCATTCAGAATAGATTTCTTAGTTTTGGGGAGGGTGGGCTTGCATTTTAAATCGGGGAGAATAAGCTGTCCTTCTTGAAAGAAATTAGTAGTCTTTTGATTAAAGGTAATGTTCA